TACAATATATATTATAAGCTGTGAATATATTATATTATATATATATATATATATACTATATTAGCTTATTCTTATTATAATGCGCTGCTCAGCTGGCAGATCTCCCGCCGCACCACCTTGTCGAACTTGCTGCACCGTGGTGCTGTGGGTATATTATATTGTTATAATATGTATGTTAACTTATTCTTATTATAACTACAATCCGTGCATAAAATCACTTGAAAAAATTAAACTAGAATGCATGTAACTTCAAACTAAATTTTACATAAATAAATTTCTCAGTAAAAGCGGAAACTAATCTATTATATTATTATAATATATATATATTAACTTATTATAACTACAATCCGTCCATCCGATCACTTGACAAAAATTAAATCAGACTGCATGTAACTTTAAACTAAATTTTACATAAATAAATTTCTCAGTATAAGCGGAAACTAATTCACGTATTGTATTCATTCATGTATTATATGTATGTAATACATGTATTTATGTTATCTAAAATCAAATTTAAATTTACACTGATAACAATTGCTAGCAAAGTAAAATCAAAAGGCACCTTACTAGCTTTGCAGCGTTTCTCCATCATTTAAATTTATTATTATCTTATTTTATTTATTTTTAATTTATTATTATTTAAATTTATTATTATTATTAAATTTATTATTATTATTAAATTTATTATTATTATTATTAAATTATTAATCAAAAGGCATCATATTTATCTAATCGAAAATCAAATTAAAATTTACACTGATAACAATTGCTAGCAAAGTAAAGTCAAGAGGCATCATAGGAGGCATCTTACAAAAATCAAATTTCATTTCAGGAGGCATCGTATTTATCTACTGGAAAATCAAATTTAAATTTACACTGATAACAAGTAAAAGTAAAATCAAGAGGCATCTTACTAGCTTTGCAGCGCTTCTCCATCATCTCAGGAGTCTCGGTCTGTTCGATGCGGGCAACCTTGTAGCCTTTGAATTGAGTTCAATAGAGTTTCAATACAGTTCAATAGAGTTCAATTTACACAGATAACAAGTGGTAACAAAGTAAAATCAAGAGGCATAAGTAAAGTCAATCTTACTAGCTTTGCAGCGTTTCTCCATCATCTCAGGAGTCTCGGTCTGTTCGATGCGGGCAACCTTGTAGCCTTTCTCGATGAGTGATGACGAGTAGCGCCCGTACGATATCTCCGGGAACCCCGAGTGCGGAACTGTGCCCTGTACACAAATTGTTTTGTGGAAATAAAAATTGTTTCATGGAAATAAATGAAAAATAACAACGATCTAAGGTTCTAAAAACCTTGTAGCCTTTCTCAATGAGTGATGACGAGTAGCGCCCGTACGATATCTCCGGGAACCCAGAGTGCGGAACTGTGCCCTGTACGCAAATTATTTCATGGAAATAAAAATTATTTCATGGAAATAAATGAGAAATAACAACGATCTAAGGTTCTAAAAACCTTGTAGCCTTTCTCGATGAGTGATGACGAGTAGCGCCCGTACGATATCTCCGGGAACCCAGAGTGCGGAACTGTGCCCTGTACGCAAATTAGTTCATGGAAATAAAAATTATTTCATGGAAATAAATGAGAAATAACAACGATCTAAGGTTCTAAAATCCTTGTAGCCTTTCTCAATGAGTGATGACGAGTAGCGCCCGTACGATATCTCCGGGAACCCAGAGTGCGGAACTGTGCCCTGTACGCAAATTAGTTTCATGGAAATACAAATTGTTTTATGGAAATAAATGAGAAATAACAATGATCTAAGGTTCTAAAAACCTTGTAGCCTTTCTCAATGACGGATGACAAGTAGCGCCCGTACGATATCTCCGGGAACCCAGAGTGCGGAACTGTACCCTGCACGCAAATTTTTCATGGAAATACAATTGTTTAATGGAAATAACTAAGAAATAAAAACGATCTGAGGCTCTAAAAAGGGCCTAGTTTTGATTCAAGATGCAAAAGCATCAAGAAGCAACTGCATCAAGAAGCAAATGCTTCAAGAAGCAACTGTCACCAGGCAGGAGCGCAGTACACGTATTTACTCTCATAGGATAACAGTCTACAAGTGAGAACTCAGTTTTCACCAAAACTCTCATAAGTATACTATACTAAAATCACATTCATCAAAGGAAAATACTCAAATTTTAATGTAAGAAGAAAAGTAATAGGAAAATTGATCAATTCACTGCAAGCTGGCGTATAAATTAAAATTTAAAAAATATAACTTGCTACTCACTGCAGTGAGTGACAGAGAGCGCATTTTCTCGTCGACGAAAACATGAAGTCACGGACGGACGGACAAACAAAGACAGACAGACGGACGGACAGACAGACGGACATGACGAGCACAATAGTCAATTTTTTCCATAAGTGAGAAAATGCGCTAAAAAGAGAAAAATCTATTAAAAAATTGCATTGAATACTAATTAAGCTTGTTCACAAAAAAGTTTCCATTGTTGCACGAGGCAGGAAATTCCATGCCAATTTACCTTCATTAAAATGAGTCCAAGTTCCTGAACGCCGATCTCAGCGTCCATGTAGAAGAATTCATAGAACTTGCCCATCTTGAAGAACAGAACCGTGTCAAAGTTCTGGCTCTTGAACAGCCACCACTGACGATGGCACTGAAAAGTGTTTCACGTTAACAACATAATTCTACTTACAACATCAATTCATTGCAAAAAAAAATAATTAAGTGTTTCAAGTTCAAGGCTTCTTCTTCTACTTACTAAAAACATCAATTCATTGCAAAAAAAAAATAATTTACATACTCAAACTATGTCAAATTTTCAGGCACACATCAGTAATTAAGATTTGGGAATACGTTATCCAACAATCTAAGGTGGACTAATTTCAAGAAAATATTTTCAAGCCGCTACAAGATTTCATGAAAAACCTAACGTTCGATTAAATTGTATTTAAAATTGCTAAATTGCATACTTAAACGATGTCAAATTTTCAGGCATCAGTAATTAAGATTTGAGAATATGTTATCCAAAAATCTAAAATGAACTAATTTCAAGAAATTGTTCAAGCCGCTACAAGATTTCATGAAATACCAGACCTTTCATTAAAATTTTATTAAAATCCACAATTTGAACCTGAACATAGGACCTATTATAGATTATATTATATTATATAGGACCTGAAACTCATCAAAATCAGGAGATTAATGTGCATAGAATGGCCATTCAATACCAGACTTTCGATTCAAATTGTATTTAACATCCACAATTTGAGTGATAATGGGACCTGCCATTAAAGCATGCATGTGAAGCTCTTCTGCTGGTTGAAGCTCGTCTGCTGGTTGAGAAAACTCTCGGGCACCCACAAGGTGCTTGATTGAAATTGTATTTAACACCCACAATTCGAGTGAAATGGGCACTGAAACTGATCAAAACCAGGGTAATAGTGAGCATAAAATGGCCATTAAAGCATGCATGTTAAGCTCTTACAGGCGTCTGCTGGTTGAGAAAACTCTCGGGCACCCACAAGGTGCGTCGGTCATACTCAGGATGATCTAGTCGGCGACCAGCAGCATCTTTGATGTTCTCGGGCAGCAAGAAGGACGGTGGGGTGTAGCCGGCGCTACTTTCCGGGTCTGCAACCTACAAGCAAATTTGAGTATCAACAAAAAGCAATATAAACATAAACATATCAGATTCAGTAATAAACAAATTCATTTGATGTTCTCAGGCAGCAAGACGAAGGAGGGCGAGGTAACGCTACTTTCCGGGTCTGCAACCTACAAGCAAACTTTAATATAAACAAAAAACATTATTTAGTTATAGATGGAATTACTATCAGATTCAGTAATAAACAAATTCATTTGATGTTCTCAGGCAACAAGAAGGAGGGCGGGTTGTAACCGGCGCTACTTTCCGGGTCTGTAACCTATGGCAAAATTTGAATATACACAAAAAAAACATTATAAACATGATTAGTTATAGACGGAATTACAATCAGATTCAGCGATAAACAAACTCTAATTTTTAATTAAATCAAGGTATTTTAGTAATATACACAAAAAACATTATGAACATGATTAGTTATAGAAGTAATTACTATCAGAATCAGTAATAAACAAACTCTCCAGTTTACAGAAATTTTAGCATGAAATTTATTCAATGAAACGAGTTTATTTTGTCAGAGACTAGAAGCAATGATCATAAATTGTTTCCGTAGAGCAAGCAACCAGCAAGCCAGTACAATGTTTAGTCTACGGTATTGTAATCAAGAATTTATATATTTTTAAACTTGTTATGGGATTACAATATAATTCAGGAAAACGCTCTTAAAATTGAAAATTAGCAAAAAAAAAAAAATACTATCCAATATCACCACCTCATTTAAAAATTATTTGTGTGTGCTTAGTCTATAGTAATCAATGATTTATACTATATATTTTTAAAAATTATCTTGGGATTACAAAACAAACCAGAAAAACGCTCTTAAAATTGAAAACATCAAAAAAACTATCCAATATCACCACCTGTTTTAAAAATTATTTGTGTGTGCTTAGTCTATAGTAATCAATCATTTACCTATACTATATATTTCAAAAAATTGTCTTGGGATTACAAAACAAACCAGGAAAACACTCTTAAAATTGATAGCCAGCAAGAAAACTATCCGATAACATTAAGTACCTCTTTTAAAAATTATTTATGTGTGCTTAGTCTATAGTAATCAATGATTTATACTATATATTTTAAAAAATATAACTCAGTACTCACTACAGTGAGTGACAGAGAGCGCTTTTTCTCGTCGACGAAAACTTGAGGTCATGGACGGACAGACAGACAGACAGAGACAGACAGACGGACATGGCGAGCACAATAGTGCATTTTTTCCATAAATGAGAAAATGCGCTAAAAATTATCTTGGGATCATAGTGGCAAACCACAGCTTTTTTAGAATCAGTTCATTTTCAATTTTCTCATTTACCCAAGATTTAAATCAATTCCTTATGTATGATACTGCTGATATCCAGGATACTTTACAGTTTACTGGTCTACTTATAGGACTCACAATTTCACAAATGAACTTGAGGGAGTCTAAAAAACCCTCTGCTTTGCCACTATGCTTGGGATTACAAAACAAACCAGGTAAACGCTCTTAAAATTGAAAACTATCAAAAAAACTATCGTATATCGTTACCTCTTTGGCAGCAAAAAGCGATAATTTTGACTTGAGAGACGGAGAGGCTGACGCAGCAACCGGTGAATAAGGTGGAGCAGTGGGAGTGTATGGAGTGAAGGGTGGAGCTGATGGAGTGTAGGGTGTGAGACTGGGTGTCAGTTTGGGTGTAACGCTGGGTGTAACGCTGGGTGTAATCTTGGGTGTGAGTTTGGGTGTAACGCTGGGTGTAAGCTTGGGTGTAACGCTGGGTGTAAGCTTGGGTGTAACGCTGGGTTTGAGCTTGGGTGTGGAGCATCCATTGGTACCCCGCTTCTTTGATGATACCGATTTCTGAAAAATGATTTTAGTTTATACAATATAACCAATAACATTATTTTGCCCGGAAAGCAAAAAAATAAAACCAATAATCTCTATAAGATATTATGATGTACTGAACAGAGGCAATTTAAGCAGTATAACTTCGAGATGATCAATCAATAAAGCTAGCTAATCAGGTAAGATAACAAATATAATTATTGAACGGTTATTCAACATACATGTAAGACTAGTAGACAACCCTAGGCTTGGATCGCAAGATCGATAATAATACATGTAATTCAACATACATGTAAGGCTAGTAAACAATCCCCAGGCTTGGATCGCAAGATTGATAATCATACATGTAATTCAACATACATGTAAGACTAGTAGACAATCCCCAGGCTAGGATCACAAGATCAATAATCCATCAAAGACAATTCTCATTTCCAATTGCGTTTCTTGCTTCCATTATAATTTAAGATTCAAATGCTGTTTATCGCTGGATTAACCACTCAATCTTACATTATACAAAAAGCTCTCATCTAACCCAATTATGATATTCGAAAATACTTTAAATTATACTAGACTATACTAATTATTAATTAATTATACTACTACTATAATTAAAGTATAATAATTATTATACTACTATACTTTAAATTTATAATCCAATATTGAACTTAAATTTGACCAATTAAAAAATTGAATTAAGCTACATTTTTTATTCAATGTCCATTTTACTTAATCATATTACTTCATGATTCAGCATTGAAAATACAAATTCATAAAATGGTAATACCCCAACACGAGATGTGATGTGGATAAGTGCGCGTATAACTCAAAAGAAAAATTATAAATTTTATATTAAATATTATCTTGGTATGGGATGGCAAATTTTGTCGTTTATGCAAGTACAATTGCAAAGAAAAGAGTGGATTTTTTCAACAATATCTTTTTTACTTCTTATCATTAAACAAGAAAAAAATATAACTCAGGACTCACTGCAGTGAGTGACATTTTCTCGTCGATGAAAACGCAAAATCACGGACAGATGGACAGACGGACGGGCATGGCGAGCACAATAGTGCATTTTTTCCATTAATGAGAAAATGCGCTAAAAATATGGAAAGAATTGATAGTAAAAACTATTTTCTGGTCTTCAGTAGAACCAATATTTGTAGAACTCTTATTTATCATTGAAATTAAGTCTAATATCATAATAGTATACATGGAAACGTCCTGTTGCAATGATCAATCAAGACTTAACTTTGGAGAACATTTTAGTGAATTCAAGTATATTAAAACACTGGATGCAACAATAATACTTTATTGTACATTATTATTCAACTATTAACCACAACAGTAATAGTAGTAGTATTTCAATAGAAGCATGATAAACAATTGAAGCGTTGATGGTAGTTGAGTTTGATAGTATTTGACCTCGGAGTTTGTTTGAAGCAGAAGCCGCTATAATCACTTTGTAGAATTATAACGAAATTGTAGAATAATAGTTAACAATAGAAGCATGATAAACAATTGAAGCGTTGATGGTAGTAAGTTGACTTTCATAGTATTTGCCCTTCGGAGTTTGATTGAAGCAGATGCCGCGACAATTATTTTATAGAATTAGAATAAAATCGTAGAATAATAGTTAATAGGCTTAACTGGAGAGGGTGAGGGCGTTACAGAGTCATCAGAGCGAGGCTCGTCTTTGGAAACTTCGTCTTTGTCCCGCGATATTTATTTCATAGAAATATAATAAAATCGTAGAATAATACTTAAGTTGCTGACCTTAACTGGAGAGGGTGAGGGCGTTACAGAGTCATCAGAGCGAGGCATGGTATTTGCCCTTGGAGTTTGTTTGAACTTTGAAGCCACTTATTTGAAGTTTGTTTGAAGCCACTAATTCTACTTTGTAGCATTATAAAGAAATAATAGAATAATAGTTAATTGTCTGACCTTAACTGGAGAGGGTGACGGCGTTACAGAGTCATCTGATCGAGGCTCGTCTTTGCCCTTGGAGTTTGATTGAAGCAGACGCCGCAATAATCACTTCATAGAATCATAATGAAATAATAGAATAATAATTAAGTTGCTGACCTTAACTGGAGAAGGTGACGGCGTTACAGAGTCATGAGAGCGAGGCTCGTCTTTGGAGACTTCGTTCTCGTCCCGCGATATTTATTTCATAGAAATATAATAAAATAATAGAATAATAGTTAAGTGTCTGACTTCATAGAATCATATTGAAATAATAGAATAATAGTTATGTATCTAACCTTAACTGGAGAAGGTGAGGGCGTTACAGAGTCATCAGAGCGAGGCTCGTCTTTGGAGACTTCGTTCTCGTCTACACCAGACGACGCACTCTCGTCGCTGCTCTCTGCTTCCTCGCCTGAAATATGCAACACGGTTCTTAGAGTACGGAAAAAACTTGGCACATTCATAATTAACATGCAATAAATCTGAAATATGCAACACAGTTCTTAGAGTAAGAAAAAACATAGCGCATTCTGAACATGAATTGAATGACGGACTTGGAAATATATTCCTTAGACAGATACATGGAAAAAAATATGCAACACAGTTCATTAAGTTAGAAAAACTTAGCGCATTCTGAACATGAATTGAATGGCGGTCTTGGAAATATATTCCTTAGATGGATACTTGAAAAAAAAATGTGCAACACAGTTCATGGAGTAAGAAAAACGTATCGCATTCTGAACATGCAATAAATCTGAAATATGCAACACAGTTCTTAGAGTACGGGAAAAACTTAGCGCATTCTGAACATGCAATAAATCTGAAATATGCAACACAGTTCATAGAGTACGGGAAAAACTTAGCGCATTCTGAACATGCAATAAATCTGAAATATGCAACACAGTTCATAGAGTACGAAAAACTTAGCGCATTCTGAACATGCAATAAATCTGAAATAATGCAACGCAGTTCATTGAGTACGAAAAAACATAGCGCATTCTGAACATGAATTGAATGGCGGTCTTGGAAATATTTCCTTAAATGAATATATGAAAATAATGCAACGCAGTTCATAGGGTAATAAAAAAACTTAGCGCATTTTGAAAATGAATTGAATGGCGGACATGGAAATATTTCCTTAGATGGATACATGAAAAAAAATTTGCAACACAGTTCTTAAGAGTACAGAAAAATCTTAGCGCATACTGAACAAGAATTGAATGTCAGTGTTGGAAATATTTCCTTAGATGGATACATGAAAAAAAAATGCAATGCAGTTCGTTGAGTTAGAAAAACTTGGCGCATTCTGAACATGCATTGAATGGCAATCATGGAAATATATTCCTTAGATGAATACATGAAAAAAAATGCAACGCGGTTCATAGAGTGAAAAAAACTTAGCGCATTCTGAACATGAATTGAATGGCGGACATGGAAATATATTCCTTAGATAGACACATGAAAAGTATATGTACATAGCACACAAGTGAGATAGTATGTAACACACGTAATATGTGACATGTGATGTGATATGTAGTGGGTGCAAAAAGTATCCGACACAAAAGAAAAAAATATAACTCAGTACTCACTGCAGTGAGTGACAGAGAGCGCATTTTCTCGTTGACAAAAACTTGAGGTCACGGTCCTCACGGACGGACGGACGGACACGGCAAGCACAATAGTGTATTTTTTCCATAAACGAGAAAATGCGCTAAAAATTAATTTAATTAAAGCTTATCTAACAAAATAACATGAACAAACATCATTCTAATGTATATTTACATGGTAAATACAGATATCATATAAAAACAACAATATTAAATATTGACTTGATAATTGCAATTTTGTAAAAGTCAAAATAATAAAGTTTTTCCTCTGCATCACATACTTTTTGCACCCACTGTATGTACTTAGTATAATTACTGCAATTTGATCTCCTTCCTGCAGCCTGAGAGAAATTGAAAGACACGTTCACCCAACTATTGACTCTAATGTTCCACTTATTAGCCAGCTACTGACACTCAACTCTAAAGAAAGTTTTGAATAAAAATTGCATTCATTTTAATCAGACTCGCATTAATGAAGAACCCTACAATAAACAAAAGGATGATATAAGTATTAAAAATTATTGGTTAATACAGTATATTGGACAAAGATAGTGCATTTGAAGAGAAGAATTACACTTGTCCACAATATTCATCGGACGGATAAACAGTTAAGATGTATGAAGTTAATGGTAAGTTATAATATTTTTTCTATGAAATCAAATTTGTCATAAAATTAGCGTTAGGTTAAAAAAATTAAAATTCAATATTCCGTTTGGTCAGTGTAAATTGCATTCATAACGAAAATGTAATTTTCTGCTAAATTTCAAACGGAACTTTACTGGGAGTTCAGTGTTGCATGCCCGTTTGAAGGATTCTCATTTGATTTACATACTTGAGTTTCAAAGCTAATGAATATAAATAAATAAATATTGAAGCATTAGGTAAAAATAGATTTAATATATAATAGCAGTAATAATCCAGCCTGAGCCACGGACCAGCATGCCAGTCCATTGAATGTTAGAGGCTTGGCATAGAAATATTTTAGAATTGTAATCATTTGAAACCTATAATTTTGATTCAAATGTAGTTCGATACCTACATGTATTACTCATAGGTAGAGCAAGGAAGGTATCAATCATTTGATACCTGTATGTGTAATACTATTTTCAATGGTTGATCAGGCATCGCAAAACGTTGTTTGAATTGAAAAACTCCAGCTTAAGTCAATAAAATTTGTATCAAATGAAAAAGATGATTTTGTTAAAATTTCACTATGAAATATAATTTTTGAAGGAAGGTTGAACGTTTTCCTTTTTCAATTTCCGTTACTTCAGTTTGCCACTTAATTCAATACCAGGGAGAGACAGTCGGACAGATCAAATAGGCATGTCAGGCTGCGCCATGTCGGCTTAATATGTTGGCTTAGTTAGTTTAGTATGAAAACTTATTCACTAGATGCCTGCCTTGGGTACCCTGTAAGCTTAGTATCATTGTTATTTCAAACATATGAATATTCTATCACTTCTTCTACTGATTTGTAACTGGAAAGTCAAATGTATATAATACATACAAGCCAATAAACCCACGTTTATGTTTGGTAGGTAAGGTTACACAGCCAAACGAGCACGAATGATTTAACCTTTCAAATTCACATAAACAAATTCGATCAAGTCGACAGTCAAATACTTTCCACAGCTACAAAAGGTTATAAGGTTAACATAACCATATGCCAGTTTTAAAGTGAGCTAAAACTCAAACAAGTAAACATTAAATCATTTTCGATGAGATACAATAGGTTATAAGGTTAGAATATAACCTTACAAACTATTATATCTCATCAAAAATTATTTACCGTTTACTTGTTTGAGTTTTAGATGGAATACATTCAACAAAACTGATAAGAGTCAAAGCTTCTGAACAAGACAGCAGCAATTAGCAGGTTTTAAAGCAGGGTTGGCAATGATTAAATCAAAATGATTAAATCATGTGATTAAATCACTTGATTTTTTTATAAAAAAATCATGATTTATTTGATTTTTTCGATTTTTTGATTTTTTTTATTTTTTCATATATTTAAATATATTGAGTGGCAGTCTTTAATTTATATTGAGGTATTGTTATTCATGGTTTAGTATAAATGTACTATAAATGACAAATTGGCATATAAACTTGTTGCCTTTAGTGTGTATTAGGTTCCAATAAATGGAATGTTTTTGGTACAGAGGCATCAAGAGTGCAATACATTGTACATTTCTAGCAGCTTAGCTAATTCTTATAAGGCTATAAGTACCAGTCTTTAACTATTTGACTATTTGTTATATATTGATTACAATATACAATTTAAATGTGTTAGCTAGCTTATACACGGGGGGGGGGGCAGAACTGATTGAACAGTTTTGAGGCAAAATAAAAGAGTAATGGTGGTACATAAAGAAGTAAGTTTATTTTCCTCAAGATTAGCATAACATACCATTTAAAATACTTATGTTTTGCAAACAATATCAGGAAAATGGGGTTTGTTAGCTGCATCACACTGTTGGAGTCGTTCTTGGAAGTTTCCTACAGCACGTTCACACATATGGCGAGGTATGGCTATAACCTCTGCTGCAATAATCCATCCCCTTAGCTGTGGTAGGGTGTGAGGGCAACTTCTGAACTTCTCTTTTAGAAGTCCCCAAAGAAAGAAATCGCAAGTGCTCAAATCAGGTGACCTCACAGGCCAGTGTAAATCACCCCTCAGAAACACCAGACCTCTGGGAAACATGCGTTTCAAAACATTGGGTGACATTCGGGCTGTGTGAGCTGTAGCCCCATCCTGCTGGAACCACATGTCTTGCAATGCTTCATTTTCAACAATGTTTTCCATCCTGGGCTGCAAGAAATTTTGCAACATTGCAGCATAGCGATCGGAATTCACGATCACGGTTACTCCCTCCTCCAAAAACGACTCCAACAGTGTGTTGCAGCTAATAGCCCCCATCTTCCAGATATTGTTTTCAAAACATAAGTATTCTAAATGGTATGTTATGCTAACTTCTAGGAAAATAAAACTCCATACAAACTTTACAAAGCTAATGAATAGACTTACCAATAATTGTTTACCCAAAAATCCCTAAGTGGTAAACACAACCTTGGCCTGTTGGCCATTATTGAAGGCAATAAGTGCCCTTTTTAGCCATCCATTATGATCCATATACTGTTATTGTTAGTAGGCTAATTGCAACATAAAAAATAACACATCAAAAAGACAAAAAAGTTGAACAAATAAAAAAAATCAAATAAATAAAAAAAATCATGAAAAAATCAAAAAAATCATTGATTTTTTATTTTTTTGATTTTTTTAAAAAAATAAAAAAAAATCGCCAACCCTGTTTTAAAGTGAGCTAAAACTCAAACAAGTAATCATTAAATCATTTCCGATGAGATACAAAAGGTTATAAGGTTAGATTTAACAAAAATAATCAGGTTCAAAGTTTCTGAACAAGACAGCAGCAATAACAAACCAGGCTTGCAGTACCGTAAATCATTTTCAATGAGATAAAATAGGTTATACGGTTAGATTTAACAAAAATTATCAGATTCAAAGATCCAAATACGACAAAAGCAATAACATACCTGGTTTGTATTCATCAGCGGATCCATCACTCTCGCTCAGCAAGACAATTCTCCGTCTCTTCGATGGCACTTGTGAACTTGAACCTTGCTTAGGACGTTTTTTGTTGGAATTTGGGCTCAAACTGTTGGTCAGGTTGCTGTCATCAATGTTTTCCTTGCTGCTGCTGTCTGAAATATATAAACATTTATAGCAATGAATGAACAATAGATAACATGAACAATAGATAACTACCACCAATGAACAATAGATAACTACCACCAGGAACCTTAGAAGAAGAAGAATTTGGGCTCAAGCTGTTGGTCAGGTTGCTGTCATCAATGTTTTCCTTGCTGCTGCTGTCTGAAATATATGGAAATTTATAGCAATGAATGAGCAATAGTTAATGAATATTGCTTCTTGAGACAATGTAGCTGGGATGATAATAAAAAATGGGATAATTTTTAGCGCATTTTCTCATTTATGGAAAAAAAGGTGCTATTGTGCTCATCATGTCCGTCTGTCAGTCCGTCCGTCCGTGACTTTGAGTTCTTGTGAATTTTAAGAAAATGCGCTCTCTGTCACTCACTGCAGTGAGTAGGTACTGAGTTATATTTTAATGTTCTCTCTAATATCACCGCAAAAAAAATTGTTTCTAAACGTGAAGCAACAAGAGAACATAAAATAATCAAAATTTTCTCCAATTGACAAAAAATTACTTGAAAGACTTACTTTCAGAACCTTCTGCTTGAGCCTCATCGTCGCTTCCTTCTCCCATTTCTTCCTAAACGTGAATATAGTGACTTGAAGCAACAAGAGAACATAAAATAATCGAAATTTTCTCCAATTGACAAAAAATTACTTGAAAGACTTACTTTCAGAACCTTCTTCTTGAGCTTCATCATCACTTCCTTTTTAATTAATACAAAAATTTACTTAATAAACTTACTTTCACCTTCTTCTTGAGCCTCATCATCGCTTTCTTCTTCCATTTCTTCATCCGAGGGCTCATGAGTGACCAATAAGGCTTCCCGGTCCTCAATGTTCAGTTTGGCAGCTTCCTCTGCACTTGCTTTAGCTTTCTGCCATGCTCCATCTTTATAAGTTGGAACTCCAACTTTTATGGGATCTCCAAAAGGCTTCAAAAAGCTGAAAAGTAAACAAATTTTCTTCTCTTACTAGCATCTCTTGAAAGAAAATGAAATGTAGCTGAAAATTAAACAAATTTATGTAATGTAGCATGTAGCAACCCTTTGGCATTAAGTAATGCCAAAGGGAAAAGTAAACAAATTAATGTAATGTAGCATGTAGCAACCCTTTGGTATTAAGTAATGCCAAAGGGAAAAGTAAACAAATTTATGTAATGTAGCATGTAGCAACCCTTTGGCATTAAGTAATGCCAAAGGGTTAAGGACTAATTAGCAAATTTAAATTGTTTCAAGAGGCAAATTTTAACTCGAAAAGCCTCTACGGTTGAGCTTACCTGGCAAAATGTAATTGGCCTGGTAAGCTCAACTATAGAGGCTTTTTGAGTCTAAATTAGCCTCTTGAAACAATTTAAATTTGCTAATTAGTCCTTAACCATTTGGCAGAAATTGCCACACATTGTAACCTAAAATCTCACTAGCATCTCCTGAAAGAAAATGAAATTGGCCTGGTAAGCTCAACTATAGAGGCGCTTTGCGTCAAAATTGAACTCTTGAAACAATTTATGTTTTCTAATTAGTCCTTAACCTTTTGACAGCAAATTGCCACACATCGTAACTTAAAATTTCACTAGCATCTCTTGAAAGAAAACAAAATCGGCCAGCTAAGCTCAACTATAGAGGCGCTTTGAGTCAAAATTGGTTTCTTGAAACAATTTAAATCTGCTAATTAAGCTTTAATCCTTTAGCAGCAAATTGCCACACATGGCAACTAAAAATCTCACTAGCATCTCTTGATAGAAAATTAAATTGGCCAGCTAAGCTGAACCATAGAGGCTTTTGGAGTCAAAATTGGTTTCTTGAAACAATTTAAGTTTGCTATAATGGCTTTAACCCTTTGGCAGCAAATTGCCACAGATGATAACACTTCCCCACCAGTTTGTGTTTGAAGCAAAATTATCATTATCAATCATCTGCATATCATGTCATGCATGACATCATATACAAAAAAGCTCAAGAATTAAAATAGGAGCACGTAAAGAAAAATTGTGGTTCAGTCTCTGAAATTTATGCTCTTAATCATATTATAAAAGTAGCAATATATCTTCAATTCTAATCAGTAGCTTAATAATATTTACATAATCATCTTGAACTTAGATAGTTTCTCATAAAATATGCAGGTTAATTTTTTATAATGTCAATCTTTCAACTGTAGTGACCATAATTGATTGATTCATCAACTGCAATCTAAGCTTTAAATATATGAAATTTTTATGAATGCCCATGGATATAAATATCTTAGAATTGCTCATACTTTCATGCAAAAGCCTCAGAACTGTGATATACTTAGCTGGCCTAACCACCTTAGAGATAATTCACTATTGGGAAGCTATAAGACCTAAGATCTGGCACACAATGCTGCATGAGTGACTGCATAGTTGCATTCTATCTAGAAAAAGCAGAAATGCAGCAAAAGTATCATCAACTTCTTTTCACATTCACTAGACTATATTTTAGTAAATTAGCCATCACTTAACATTCTTGGCCTATGCACTTAGTTTCAAGCTTCTAAGATCATACGAGTATAAATTTTGGAGTGCTCAATGGTGTAAAATTAACAAATGATATTATATCAACATACTACATGGGGATGATTTTTACAAAGAAAAATTCACAAGACTACTAAGTTTGTAGTCTTGGTGGCAAAGCAGAGACTATTTTTACTCTCCCTCAAGTTCATTTTTGAGTCCTATAAGTAGACCAGTAAATTATCATGGATACCAGCATTATCATACAATATACATTAATTGGGTTGAATCTTTGGACGAGGAAATTGAAAATGAACTGATTCTAAAAAAATCTGTGGTTTACCACTATGCATTACAAATGCACAATAAACTACATACTAGTTATAACAAATTTTCATTCATACTATTGGGATTTTCCATTATGCCAACTGACCTCTCTCTCACCCAGCCACGACTAGGAGGATCTTCAAAGAACTGCAAGTGCACGGCATTCTTGCGGGAAAATGAACCTCCAGAGGGAGGCTTGCAAACCAAGCCTGGCCACCATGGATGTCCTTCCAATTTTCCCCACACCAATGTGAATTCAGTGACCTCTGCACAGAAAATCTGAATTAAATCAAGATAGCAGACATGCTATCTGTTCTATTGCATTTTATAACGCCTCTTTTTTTGGTACTGTCAAGCCTCAATACCCTGGAGACTGATTATCAAAACATTGCTATTTACATGTAGCCACTTTACCCACTTATGTGTTGCATAAGTGCTGCTATGAAGACTTAACTCTAGTGGTGGTAGCCTATTATCAAAACATTTTTGCAGTAAGCTACGTACAAGAATTTGTGCATAACTGTACGCCTGCTCAAAGGTGTAGTAAGCAGAACCAGAATTAAGTACAAGTTTGGAGTGTCTGCTGAAGCAATATTAAAATATTGATTTACCAGAAACAAGTTGAATTGTAATAGAGTTTTGTCAATAATTTGACATAGGTAAACTCATAAAATTTTCTATATTCTAGGTCTCTCTAAAAAGTGTTCTAATTATGAATGGGAATATTGCAATTTTTTGCCTCAATTTGAAACATGAATTTTATTTGAAACATATTTGAAATATTTCCTCAAATCTTACAATATTTTCTTAACATGAATTTTATTTGAAACATATTTAAAATATTTTCTAAATTTTATGATTGCAAAATCATCCAAATTCTTTAGGTTTTTGCTTTATAATTTATAGGAATGTCAATTTTCTCCAAAGCTGCAGGCTAGGCAATTTCCCACATTCACATTGGCAATCTCAACAATAGATACCTACCTACTGATAGTGATGGCTCACTAAATGTCAAACTCATGGGTCTGTCTCATGCCATGGCTCCCTAAGTAATCACACTACCTAAATGCTGACAAGGTTACAGACTGCCAGCCTGACTCCAAGTCCAAAAACTAAAAGTAATTGAAAAAGCCTCCGTAAATCCTCATATATTTAATTTCACCGAGCTGACAATTCTCTGGTTGAGTCTTAAGCACTTTGAGGATTGTAAATTTGTAACTAATGCACATATAGTCAGCTAGACTGAGCTAGTGATATATATAAACCCTGAAGGCTATAGCCTATACCCACTATCATACCCAGCTAGCCTACCATTATTGATAATTTGATACCGGGTATTTCAACAAATTATAGAAAAATAGGCAAACAACTGATTATTTATTAGCGTAAATAAAACTCAATTACTTACCAACTCCTTTCAACTTGATAGTTTTCACAACTTCTTTTATTGGAGTTGCAGATTGCGAACGATTGAAAAAGTTGAGGAGTGACGATTGCTTCGCCATTACTGTATTATTATTACACAGCAAAGACGTTTGTTTACATCCGACGAGATGCAAGTCCCAGCAGCAGAGCGCAAAACTCAGACGTGCTACGGAATTCGCGCCGAGTTCCCGAATGCACGTTTTTCACTGCATGCACATAAAAATTACCTCAGATCCAGCGTTCTTTATCACTGCTCAATCAAACTTTAGAAAATTGTAATGGCATAGAATCATGCATACGTTAGAAAATTGTAATGACATATAATCATGTTCCTTGGAATCACATATATCCCTTACAAATTCCTAATTATGAAAAGAAATAAATCAATGGCCAGCGGTAGTACATAAATATGAGTTACATGAGACATTGGCCCAAGTCAGTCCCTACATATATTTAAAACGTGAATATATTGGTCGACGCGATGGATTGAAATGCAGCCACTAGTGGATATAAATGCTCAAACAATAGCGCAAGCGTTCCGTGGAGCATGGGTATCACGTTTTGGCGTGCCATTGCATGTGATAATCGATGGAGGTGCACAATTCAAATCGGAAATCTTCCTGGAAATGTAAAAAATTGTGGATTTTAATAGGTTGCGCAATACAAATTATAATCTGTAAATGAACGGCTTAATTGAAGAAGCACGTAGAACTATCAAAGCAGCAATTATAACATAACATAGTGATGTCGGCGCTGAAGATTAGGCCCTGATGTGGCCTGTCGCCGATTCTTGTGCTTTTCATGACTTGTCCAAAGGAGATCTAAAAAGAGGTCCTTCGATCGGATCTTTTCCAAATTGACGATAGTTTGAAAGATCTAATACATATCCACTGGGTTCGATATGATGCTAGGTATTTCAAGTCTGAACATATATTTCTCCATAGCTTTATCTAGTCTGTTCTTGAACGCGTTTATACCCGGAACGTCAATGATGTAATCGGGGAGGCTGTTCCACATGTAAGTGATTCGAAGCTAGAAGAAACGTTGTCGCGTGGATGAGTTGCAACGCAATATTTTAGTTTATAGCCGTAGCACCTGGTGTTGGTTTTTGTTTCAAATTCTAGTAATCCTTCTGGGACCTTGCATAAACCATGAGTAAACTTGTATAGTACCTTAATGAGGTCCCCATGCAGACGTTAACAGAGGCTTGGAACTTCAAAATCATTTGGAACTTCCACTTGGAACTTCAAGTGGAAGCTTCAAAATCATTCTACATAGGACTTGCTCTTCAAGCCTGGAATTATCCTTGTTGCACGTTTTTTAACAATGTTTTTCAAATTTTTGCCCTTTCCAAGTTTCGGTGATCACAATGCGTTTCCCAACTCCCGGTTCGGGCGCACGACAGCAACTAACAGCAGCTTCATCGCTTTTTCATCTAGGAACTCGTAAAAGCGTCTGATAAGTCCAAGAAGTTTGTTGGATTTATTAGCTTGCGTTTCAATAAGCTTAGAAAATTTCAGCTTATCGTCGACATGAACTCCTAAATCTTTTTCCACACTAGACTTTTCAATCGTTACTTTCTCATTGCAACCTTGTCATCTCATAGTGTAATCATGGTGTTCATTGTTCTTCCCGAGGTAAAAGGGTGCGCAGCCGTAAACCAGCAAATTAACTCTGAAATCAGCCCTGGAGCCAACATCAACCTTTATAAATGCTATAGATATTGTCATCCTGGCACCTTAGCAGCTGTACTCAATTGATCCATCTCACCACATGAACTTTAAACCAACAATGATCCAGCTATCAAGCTGCTACTTCACATAATTAACGTTCAGCAGCCCTGTAGCAGGATGGCGCACGGAGAGGCGTATGAAAGAAATGCTGCTATTGGGCAATGCTGGCCTCTCGCATACATCCCAAGTACAAGAATCGGCGCTTAGACCACATCAAGCCGATTCTTCAACGCCGACATTACTATGCTATTTTTTACTTAAAACTTAATTGAATTTCGTTCACTAATCACAAGAATGACAAGATGAGTCCCATGTATTGAAGAGGCATGAACAAGACTATAGGCAAGAATCCGTAAGATGGTGACTGGGGTAGTTACAAAGTCATGTAGCGTCAGATGCGTCGATTGTATTCTCCCTTCTCCGTGAGCAGATTTTTCTCAAACGGAGGAATTAAGAGTGATTAATCAAAAGACACTAGGGGCAAATTACCGAGATCTTCCCGATTTATTAAAGTAAACAACTCTATTGTGGAAAAAACGCGATGCTAGCAAAATTCTAGAACTACTACTGCCTGGAACTACTACATCCGAAACGCATTCTACGGATACCTCAATCGCAACCTATATTGGCCAGTCTTAATTAAGCAAGGTTAGCTACCTAGCACCAATCTTATAACACAGAACCCCGAAGTTTCAAATACTTGCCGAGATTTAGTTCTGATTAATAATACTACATGGTGTAGATTTTTAGTTTCCGTTTTCCTTCTATTCGAAATTCTAGCTCCGAAAATTCACAGAAAGCAGCGTTTGTCAATACCAGTATCTATAGTCGACAGATGCAATCATTGAAAGTAGCCATAAGGTTCAGGATTGTCTATGGGAAATTGGAGGAAAGATTTACTTATTCATGATTACGACTCTAGGAAGCGAGAAAATACTTTCTATCCAGCTTGATATATTCATTTATTGAGCAATTATTACTCCATTATTAGATGTATAAGACTTGTATAAGAATCACTACTTTCAACACGCTAAACGCAGATCCTACTCCATTTGCGTGACTGAAATTACTGGATCCTAACGGAGAAAGGCAATTACAGGCTAGTTATTAATAAAAAAGCATATACATACGTACGTGAAATTTTCACGGTACACAGTGTTCAGGATAAGGCACGACAGTAGCATTCAGTACAGTTGCTTATGTACTGGAAGTAATAATATCTAGAGAAATTAAAAAAAAACGCTAAGAGTATGAGTAACAGATGAAACTATACTCGTTAAAAAAAATATCAGGAGCAACAATTTTAAATTCTGAAAATAACCGCTTCCGCTATATTCGGAATTCAATCCATAACAAAATAAAAACATTTTGATACAACATAGGCTCTTAACTAACACAGATGCAACGGAAATAACACCAACCTAATAAACTATCATAGTTTCTATTCAACAATTATGAAGTCTTGGCCAAATTTGACAGGCACAGTTGTAGTTTCATTCGTATACACGCAGAACAGATAAGTACGAAAAATAATCAACTGTTGGCCAGAAAAATATACGCACATTCGAACCTTCAATAAACAGATACTGTATGTATATTGACTATATTCATTTCAGAACAAAAAAATTTGAACCGCAAATGCATATAATTTACAAATCTGTATAACCACGAGAGTACTATAAAGCGAAAAAAATAATTGTTGGCTTTCATGCCAAACCTATGAAAAGTGGACTTCGCCGTCCGCCGCACCAAAACTATTAGCCGAGCTTCGACCATCTGGCATTTTCGAAATTTTTTCCGACATTTCGAAAGCAGTTTCAATTTCCACGACCAAATTGTCGGCATCCTCTGCTTGCTCGTCAACGCTGTTGCTCACGGCACGGTAGCACTCCACTTCAATGCATTCCATCACGTTTACTAGGGCAGGGTGGTCCAGTGGTTAAAATTCAGAGTATTAGGATTGACGCAGAGAGGCGCGGGTTTGATCCCAGCTCTGTGCGCCAGTTTCTGGTCAGAATCGGCTATATAGGAGGCCGGGCGGTTAAGCACAGCAGAATTGGAGCAGTGAGTTGCGAGTTCGAGACTCGCAGAATACTGTGAATGTTCTGCGATGTTATGAATCGGCAACAGGTCTATGGCCTAATTAACGCTGAAACCGCTATTATTATTCTAACTTCGATTTGTTCTTCTTTAGGGACGCAATCTGGTATTATTGCAGATTAACTACATCCAAAAAAAAGGGTGTTTTTTTTTTAATTATATGTTTTTTGGGGTGTAGATTACGAATCTGAAATCCATTAATCGGTATTATTGCAAAAAATCGGTTTTCCGATGCCGACCGCCAAAAATGGATTTCAGATTCGTAATCTACACCCCAAAAAACATATAATTAAAAAAAAAACACCTTTTTTTTTGGATGTAGTTAATCTGCAATAATACCCATATAATTAAAAAAAAAACACCCTTTTTTTTGGATGTAGTTAATCTGCAATAATACCCGCAATCTCAGTTTTCAAGATCGAGATGTTCTTCAAACACCACCCCACTTGATGCTTTCCCTTGTCCACATTGGTCGCCGCGCAGCAAATTTTGCATCTTCACGGTCTGAAAATTGGAAACAATCTATCATTGGGTTTAAATATGATTAATAATGAAAATTCCTGAGATCAAAGTGGCTTTAGCTCTAAATACTACACTAAAATGGCCCCTTTACAATGCAATAAAAATACTATCTCTAGTGATGGTTTGTTAAAAATATTGTTCCGCATGAATTAATACGTAGTACTAGCAAATAAATATCATAGTAAACGTTTGCCGTCTTTAAAGCGTGAAATAAACATTTTAAAACAAATCGATCGCCATGTAGAAAATTTAGCAGAAGCCACCCGTTAATTGGATTAAGAAATGCCCTTGAATCTGGCCAATTTCACACTTTCTTAAGGTCATCTACCAATTTATGCCGTAAAAAGAAAAACAGCCGATTTTTATTTCCAATTTTCTAAAAAAAGAATCTTAAAATGTTACAATAAGTAAATTAATCATGTGGTATCTAATTTTCTATATTTCAATTCGTACACTCAAGACGTGCATGACAACTGATCCGACGCATGTGCACGTCTAACCTGATGCACGACGCTCATGATGCTGCTCTTATGGTCATGACGAAGTGGTCCTCTTGTGGTCACGGCACAACGCACCTCTTGCTTCGGCGGTCAGAACAGCACTCCGGCATCGACTGCGACAAGGCAACAAGCGCAAGCCGACAACCGCCAAGAGTAAGAATCGCGTCTATAATCTAATAGAAACTACTCACCGTCACCGGCCTCCTGTGGCTCCAACAGTCCAACTTTCAAAATTCTGGCGATGTTGCTAGATGGTTCCGAATGAGATTTTGCGTGTGTACTCGAACTGTGTGAATTACAGAATAGTAATATTTGTTGTTACCAGAGCTTAAAACAATTACACAATTATCAGAT